CATCTGACCTGAATTCCTCAGCTTCTCTAACACTAAGACCTCTTCCATAGCTAACATCAATGTACCATCCCCATCATGAACACTCCTGATGTAGTACATGGGTAATATATTAGATCACTCCCCTTTTCTTCTTTCTTTATGGTTCTTATCAAATCCTCTGCAAAATAAACCTCCTCCAGATGTCCCTCATTCACCCTTCCCAATGCCACAGGTTAGTAACTCCAATTTTCTTCTGATTAATTCACATATACACCCACAAATGCAATGCTTTCCACCAACTTGTACTTACTAATGTACTTTTTCACTGTACCTTTTTAAAATTTGAATTATTCTTATTTTTATTTGTTTAGAGATTATATTTTCTATGTTGCCCAGGCTGGACTTGAACTCCTGGGCTCAAGAAATCCTCCCACCTCAGCCTCCAGAGTAGCTGGGACTACAGGTGCATGCCACCATGTCCAACTCTGCTTTTTTTTTTCCCCCTAGATAAACTGAAGCTCTTTAAGGAGACACAATACATCAGGATTTTTTTTTTTTTTATCTCACCCACAGTGGAAATATAAAAAATTTTGATGGATCCACCAATACTAAAAGCACTTTCATTTCTAAAGTTATATTTACTTTAACCGGAATAAATTACACATGGGAAATAAAATGTTAATTGAGGGATATATTAAAGATAGGTGTTTGCTCAGGGACAAATGACTGCAGTGCTTCTGTTTAATTGTTGGTTGGTTTGTTTGTTTTGTCATTCATATATGTCCTAAATGCTCAAGGCTTCTCTGCCTGCAACCTTCCCATTCATTTTAGGTTTGTGTTAACACTTCTCTGGCTACAGCCTTCACTTAGACTTTGAAAGTTGAGTTACTCATCAAGGTGTCCAGGTATGCTGTCTCCTTAAGGAGAACATAAAAGACAATCCCCAGGTATGGTTTGTCTAGTGATAAAGAGATCTAGTTACCTTGGAGCATAATATCCCCTCAGCATCAATGTCTAGTCACCAGTGTTGAGTGTTGGCAGTGGCCCCAGGCCACAGCAATTCCTGGCTAGAGCTGTGGCTTCCTGCAGCTGCTGTGGGGAGTGACTGTCGTTGACCATGTGATGTGGTCCTTCATTATGCAGGACCAGCTCCATTATCTCAGCACCTCTGGCAAGCACCGTGCCATCTGCAAACAGGATGGATAGCTTTCCCGCACCTGGCACACACCCTGGGGAGTGGTGAGGGCTTTGCCTAATTCTCAGCACACCAGCTACAGCTCCATTCCTTCCTCTCCCACTCAAGAGAGCATAGTGGGATACAAGGTGAAAGGAGCCTCCTGTGATGGTAACTTTGAGTTTGCTCTCATTTATATTAAAATAAAAATGGTGAATCACTTACAAATTTGGAACTTTCATTAGCAAAACATTACTTAGAGGCCGGGTGCTGTGGCTCACGCCTGTAATCCTAGCTCTTGGGAGGCCGAGGCGGGCGGATTGCTCAAGGTCAGGAGTTCAAAACCAGCCTGAGCAAGAGCGAGACCCCGTCTCTCCTATAAATAGAAAGAAATTAATTGGCCAACTGATATATATATAAAAAATTAGCCGGGCATGGTGGCACATGCCTGTAGTCCCAGCTACCCGGGAGGCTGAGGCAGAAGGATCACTCGAGCCCAGGAGTTTGAGGTTGCTGTGAGCTAGGACGCCCCGGCACTCACTCTAGCCTGGGCAACAAAGCGAGACTCTGTCTCAAAAAAAACAAAAAACATTACTTAGAGACCCACCTAAATAACACTGGGTTAAGAGCCACTGTGCTAACTGGCAGCCCCTGGTAAAAGCCCATGTAAGGAAAAAACCAGGACTGTGCCTGTCACTTGAGTGACAGTTATCATGAATTGCTATTCTCTCAAGAAGAGAGAATTGATTTCCAGGGTAAACCAGGCACTGTGCTAGGTGCTTTCTCAGTTCATCACTACACCACCTGATGAGAGGACCATTTTTCAGAAACTGAGGCTCTGGTAGGTTCCATATCTAATAGGTAGTGGCCAGGCTTTCTCAAAGCCCAGATTCTTTCCCACCACAGCATATAGCTGCACTATTATCCAAAGTTCTGTAAGGAAAAAGAACCGCTGTAGTGCACACATGACTCCATTAAATCTTCCTGGCACTTGATTGATTTTCCTACTTCTTACCTCTGGGATTGGTATGTAGTGTCTATTTTTTTTTAATCTTCTCTTGTTCTTCCTTTTTATTCCATAAAATATAGGAATATTCTTTTACATTAGTCCTTGCAGCAACCTTGGAATTACCATCATTCCTCAAACAAGTTATATAAGCCAGCTGCCAAAAGTGGTCCCTGGTTAAACATTTAATTTTGTTGTTCCATAGAGCTACTACTGAAATACCTAAGCCCATTTGCAAAATAGCATCTAGTTGATCTGAAGGCTGTCTCTAAAGCAGTTTTGTGTACCTATTGCAGAGAAGGACTAATTTTAAGAGTATTGTATTGTTTGAAAATATATGAGCACGTCATAGAGGCACCAGTGAAGACCCAGAAATACAGCAGTAATTTCAAAAAAGGGCAAGTAAAATGTCACATCCTTTGTCTACATGCAGGTCTGTTATATATGTGTAGTTAAATGTAGGTATATTAACTACCTACATTTAGTTAGTTGTAGGTATTAACTACCTACAATTAGTGATTATAGTAATCACTAATTATTAATGTAAGCATTTCTTTAGGTCTACTTATTGAAAAGAAAGAAAAAAAATCTTACTATGCAAAAAACTGCCTATCAGTGGGAGAAGGGATTTTATTATTAAAAACTTCAGTGCCATTTACATCTTAGACTTCTGTAGATACCGAAGGCTGCAGTCAAGATAAAGAAATTGTTATTTATTTATTAATATTATTGAGACAAGATGTTACTCTGTTGCTCAGGCTAGAGTGCAGTGGTGTCATCATAGCCCACTGCAATCTCAAAAACTCCTGGGCTTAAGCGATTGTACTGCCTCAGCCTCCCTTGCAGTTGGGACTACAGATGTGCACCACCATGCCTGCTAATTTTTTTATTTTTTGTAGAGACAGGATCTCATTATGTTGCTCAGGCTGGTCTTGGATTCCTGGCCTCAAGCAATCCTCCCACCTCAGCCTCCCAAAGTGCTTGGATTACAGGCATGAGCCACCGTGCCTGGTGTAGATAAAGGAATTAATAATGCCCTTCTATCTTAGAGAAGGTACAAAGAGATGAGAGATGATCAACTCAGATCTACTTCTGGTCTTCGAAGAGGAATATGCATAAGGTTTGGAAGGAAAGACAGATTAAGAAGTGTGTGAAACTTGCACATGTCACCGTACCTGCCATCACAGATAATACCTAGCAATATAGCATTTTCACTGAAAATATGGTAATTCCCAACACTATCATAAGTCTGGAGTGGTCAAGTAATCCAAATATTCAACCAGGAAGCAGCTAAAGAAACTGCCCTGGTGACTTATGACGCATCCTGATTTCAAAAGGACATGAATAAAAAGTGGAAAGAATCCACTTCCAGGGAAGTATATTAGGGTCGCTTAAAACATAGGAATAATCTTAGGGTTGCTGTTATGGACTGTATTGTGTTCCCTCAAGATTCTTATGTTGAAGCCCTAACCCCAGGACCTCAGAATGTGACTGTATTTGGATAGGGCCTTTAAAAAGATAAAATGAGGCCATTAGGGTGGGCCCTAATCTAATCCAACAGGTATCCTCATAAGAAGAGGAGATTGGGACTTACAGAAAGGGACATCAGGGGTGTGTGCACAGAGGAAAGAGCCTGTGAGGACACAGCAACAGAGCAGCCCAGGAGACATTCCTTAGAATAATCCAACCCTGCTTATACCTTGATCTTAGATTTTTCTGGAACTGTGAGAAAATAAGTTTCTGTTGTTCAAGCCACACAGTCTGTGCTGTTTTGTTAAATCTCAATAAATGTCAGTGTTTAAGCTTTGATAAAACTTTCTAAGGAGAAGTGTAAAAGGCCGTTTTGGTTATTTTCAGAGTGTGACAAGCACGGGAGGGGTAAGCCAGCTGCACGGGATCATGAGGCAACGCTGAGGAGTGACAGAGAGAAAGTACAGCTCTTCAATCCCTATTTTTTTCTGTTGAGTTGAATGATCTTCAACCTGAAAAGGGCAGAAGAATGATTGATCACTTGTAATAAAGGTCAACTATTAGTGACAGGATTACAGAACAAGTCCTAGCTGTTCTAAAGGAGGGCCTGGTATGTCCCCCACTCCCAAATTCATAAATTGAAGTCCTAACCCACCAGTATCTCACAATGTGACTCTATCTGAAGATAGGGTCAAAAAGATAATTAAGATTAAATGAGGTCATCAGGATGGATCTGAATCCAATATGACCAATGTCCAAGTCTCCTTATAAGAAGAGGAGAGGAAGACCACGTGAGGACACAGAGAAGATGGATGGACATCTGCAAGCCAAGGAATGACACCTCAGAAGAAGCCAAACCCGCTGACACCTTGATCTCAGATTCTAGCCTCCCTAAATGTGAGGAAGTAAATTTCCAATGTTTAACCCACTTAGTCAGTGGTATTTTGTTATGGCAGCCACAGGACACTAATACAGGGCTCCTCTTCTGGCTCAGACTTATGGCTGCTTTTGGTGATATTTATGGGCCACAGAGAACAGCCTAAACACAAGATGACGGTAATGTGGCTCAATAGCACTATGTGTAAAGTAGGACCGGTAGATTTGGTAGTGAGTGTGACTAAGCTGAGTCTACAGCGGGCTGTAGTTATTAAATTAAAAATAATTAATTAATTAAAAAAGTCAAATGCAACGTCAGACTGCAGACTGAGACAGGCAACAGACTGTTCCATACTGCAATGGTCAGTGTACTCTTGAAGTATTGTAAAAAGACACAGACAAACCAGAACACATCTAGACGAGAATGGCCAAGGGTGTGGAAAGAACCAGAAATCATGCCATTTACACAACTGTTGAAGGAAGTGCCTGTCTTACCTTGTGAAGAGAAGACTCTGGAGGCAGAAGCAACATGAAAACTGCTGGGAAATATGTAGAGATCTGCAGTGTGGAAAAGAGTTGCTCTGCTTGGTCACTGGGGATATGACAATGGTATCTGAGTGGGAGTTTAAAGGCAAGGGATGTGAGCTTTAAATGGGTTAAGAACTTTCCAGTAACCAAAGCAAGCCCAAAGATAGAGTGCACTGCCTAAAGAGCTAGTGGACATCTCCCAAATGGAGGCATTTAAATCTAGAATGAGGATTTATTGTAGGATTCCAGCATACAGGTAGTTTGTTCCTTCCCCAACTCTGTAGGCTTCTAACTGGGGATGTCCTTGTGTTTCCTGTTCAGAGGATCTGGAAGATATCCCAGGGCACAAAATGGCATTAGACACAGAACAGAGGTGGTGGCTGAGAAGTAAAAAGCCATCAGGATCTCTGAGTAGTGATAGAACAGGAGATCTGAGAGGAAATGTCCATCATTCTGACACAGTCAGTGGCTAATCATCTTTCCCCAGGAACATCTTGACTTTGGAAAGTTGAGTGTCATGAATTTCAACAGTGGAAAGAGAAATTGCTAAGTCTAAGAACTTTTATTTTTACAGATTATGACCTCATCTCTATATTTTTGAATTTCATGCTCAATAAAAGTCTTTCTCTTAAAACAACAACAAACAAAACTGCTTCCTCCTTCCCAGGACTGGCTTCATGGGCATGCAGCCTATGCAGACTCATAGGCCCTGTGCTGGTTTAATGTTCAGCCATTGCCATCTTAAAATTCTTGATTTTGGAACAAAGGGTCTCATAGTTTCATTTTGCACTGGACTCTGCAAAATTTGTAGCTGGTCTTGCTCCCTCTCCATCTTTGAGTCACCCTCCTTTTTGCATTCAGTGTCTTCTTTTTTGCTTTCTTTGCTCATACAAACCTGGGACAAACAGGGAATTGTGGTGGTGGATGAATGTGTTTGTGAAGCAGTATGGAGCGGAGGATTGCCAATTGGGTTTTTCCTTTCTCTTTAGGCTTTTCCCTGCAGTCCCAACTTCCTGTCACTTGCTTGCTGCTAGACTTGGGAGAAGTTCCTTGGTGTCAATTTCCTGACTTATCAATGGGAATAAAAATAGCAATGGCCTCTTTGGCTTATGCAGGAAGTTAAATGACATAAAGCATGTAAACAACTATTGCATGCTAACAAATATTTGTCACTGCTTTTTGAGGACACTGAAAGGACATTCAGGGGAAAAAAATAATCCAAAGGTCAGGACAGAATGCCTAGAGCAGGGAAAGAGAGATGACAACATTTAGGGAAGCTGGTAGAGAAATGCTGACTTCTCAGGAAGGAAGTCAGTCGGCATCCCCCTGGCTGAGTCATCACTCCACAAGCCTGGGCATCCTTGGTCGGCTGCACAATGAGCAGGGGAGAGAAAAGGCAGGCTGCACTGCAGCCCTAGGAAGGGTCAGAGCCCTCCCACGAGCCCCATGTGGGCTACTTGCTGGTGATGGATGCTACTTCAGGTCAAGAGCAGTGCATACATCTGGGCAGTTCTAGATCATTCTAGACTACCTGGACACGGGGCACTGAGCAGTTTGTGTTTGATCTAGGAGAACGTGCCTTTGCAGAAGGCTCATGTCTGGAATTTAGGACAGACACAATGAAGAATAAGGACAGAGTCTGAGGTCAGAAATCCTTAGTGCTGGGGGTTGAATAAAAATCATCCCTCAAGATCTCTTCCTTCCTTTTACTTCATCTCCATCTCAGATGGATGTTACAGCTCAGTCTGACAAAAAAAAAAAAAAAAATTCCCCGACTGTCCTTTCTCTAAAAAGTGAAAACAAAACAAAACATGTAAAAAAAAAATAGCCAACCCAAACAACCCCCAAACCAAAAGCCTTCCTTTCAAAAACAAGTAAATGGGTCGCCCGCTTCTTTCCCAGGTCCCACTCCTTTCCCCTTTGGTTCCTTCTAAAGATAGAAATTCCAGGTTTGCTCGTGGCTGCTTCTGACCGAAAGAAATGAGGCTTTTGCTCTCTCAACAAGCAGAGAAACCCTTTACCCTTTAAGCCTCGCTCGCTCCCATTCTCTTCCAGAACCGCCTGCCCCACCTCTCCAAACCCAGACAAAAAACCGAACTGCGGATAAAAAAACGCACCCCGGCAGCGGCCCTTTATACGACGTCCCCGAGAGGCCTGCGGGGTCGGATGATTCAAGCTCACGGGGACGAGCGGCGAGCGCTCCCGACTTTTCTAGAGCCCAAACGTCCTACGACTCACCTTTCCCTGATCCTGCACCGTCCCTCTCCCAGCCCCAGGCTCTCCCTCCTGCTGTTCCCGCCGCCCGGGTGGGCCGCCGGGCTGGGGGCGCGCGGGGCGCGGGCGGCGCCCAGGGCGCTGCACCTGTGGGCGCGGGGCGAGCGGCCCCTCCCGGCGCGCGCGGGCGCAGCTCCCCGGCGGCTCCGCTAGGGGTCTCTCTCGGGCGCCGAGCGGGGCGGGCCGCATCAGCTGACTCGCCGGGCTCCGAGCCCCGCCGCCGCGCTCCGGCTCCGTCAGTTTCCTCGGCAGCGGTAGGCGAGAGCACCCGGAGCAGCGCGAGCGCGGGGCCCCCGAGACAGCGGCGGCGGCGCGGGCAGAGCAAGGGCGCGGCGGACCCCACTCGCACAGCAGCGCACTCGGTGCCCCGCGCAGGGTCGCGATGCTGCCGGGCTTGGCACTGCTCCTGCTGGCCGCCTGGACGGCTCGGGCGCTGGAGGTGGGTGCCGTGCCTGGGAAGGCGGGGGAGGCGGGCATGGCGGGGACCTGATCGCCCCCAAGTCTCCAATCCGGAGAAGCCGGGGGCTGTCAAGGGGACCCTTCGCCCCTCCGCCCCCGCCTGCGGGCGCCCCGCGCATCCCCGCCTCTGGCCCAGCCCTGCCCCGGGGACGCGCGCCCCGGCCCGCGAGGGGCGATCGGGCGAGGCGCTGGGCTCCCCGGGTCCGCGCCAGCCCGGGGCGAGAAGGGGAGGGGGCGACCGAGAGCTCGGATCCTGACTCAGTTCCTGCCTCGGGAGCGGGGGCCAGGGAGCCCAGAGACACCTAGAGGGGAAATGGGGAGGGAGCACGTGGGGAAAACCGAAAACGCAGCGTCCCTGGGTCCAGTCCCTGGCTCCTAAATCACCCTTTCCTTTCTCTCGGGCCCTGGGGGAGAGGAGTCGGGACAGCTCGGGAAGCTGGGGCCCCCTCGCTTCGCTTTTCCTTCTCCGCCCCGTGTCCCCTCTCTTGTCACCCCCATCCCCCTTCCTGACCCGAACCTCCTCTCCCTTCCCCTTTGCGGCTGCTGGCAGCGGCCGCCTGGGTGCGACCCCAGCGGGCGCCGGGGTCGCCTGCCGCCTTCCGCAGGCAAACTTTGTGCAATTCCGCGTCTCCCTTTTGTGTAAGTTGCAAGGGATGGGAGGGGTCGGAGACCACCCCGCACCTTCCCCGAGCCTGGACGTCCCGGGCGTTCGTTCTCTGGCACCTTCACTTTCTCCCCGACAGGGAGGAGGTCCCCGGGAACAAAAGCCGCGACACCCCGCCCTCGTCGGCCCGGGGCGCGGTGGGCGAGCCTCGGTGGAGTCCGGGCGCCGCCGACGCTCCCGCCCGACTCCCTTCCCGGGGCTGCGCGTCTGTCCCGGAGGGGGCTGGGACCCTGCTGGGGCTCCTGCAGCCCCTGCCTCGGGGCTCCTCTGCCTCCCACCCCCGGATCGCCTCCGAGGCTCGTAAATTCTGAGCGGGGCTGTGAAGTCCTTGGGGGGAGATAACGCGGAGAGCGGGGTGTGCGTCTGCAAAGGGCAGAGGCGGGTGGAGGGAAGGCACGGGCTCTCCCCTCCTGCGCATCCGAGGAGGCGTTTGTCCGATTAAGGCGCGGCCTCCTCCCTGGCTGCTGTGGGGACTCTGGTTTCGTCCCCGTGGAGGCGCAGGATGCAGGGGAGGGTCCGCAGGGTCTTTTTTGGGGGGTGCGCATAAAAGGACTGAATTGAGTGAAGATTAAGACGGAGAAGATGGCGCCTCTGCAGTGCAGCAAAGAAAAGCTCTGTGGAGGCTGCAGCCTGGTGAAATCCACCCACCACTAGGTGTATAACAAGTCTTCCCCATTCATCCAACTCTGGAACATTCAGCTAACGCCTCTGTGCAAGGACTATTTTTCTTTTTATCTAAAGATGCTTAGAAGTTGTTTGCGTGACAGTTGGGGCCGAGGAGGTTGTATTTCGCATCGATTGGGTTCCCGTTTGGTATCTTAACCACATGCAACCTTCCCTCCCCATTCCCCCCCCCACCTTTTCCCCCTACCTCATAGTAATTTTCCAGAAAAGCAATTTCCATAATTCTACTGAGGTTGTACAGACAATCACACCATTACAGTTTTTTAGTTACCTAATTTGCAAGGTCATTGAACTTTTTCCCTTCTGATTTTTACCCACAAGTGGCTCAGGAATCACCTTAGGGCTAGTTAAGGCAGGTTGTTTTAAGAGTACGACAATTTGGCTTTCCTTGTTTTTTTTTAAAATGCACTTAATTAAGGGAATTCTGATTTCTCCGGTAATTATTTCAGTTTTCTTGAATGGTCTTAATGTAAATTAAAAATACAAATTAAGTAATTAAAGGCATGTCATATGAACCTTTATTTTTGAAGCTTTTTGTCAAAACTTAAATATTTAAGTTTCTTGAGCAATATTTTTTCCCCGTATAAAAAGAGGCAGCATGTAGGCAGATGAATTTTTTGGCCTGTATAATTGCATTTCTTTTGCTCTTTCTGCCATCTTTTTGGACATTTTCACTAGCTATTTTCACCTCCTTTAAAGGGTGGAGGTGAGAATCACATTAGTCCATTTTGCAAAGTGCTGTTAAGAAGGGTAGGTAATTCACTCTAATGAGGTTTGAGGGGGATTTATCCAGCTCTGTGTCCACCGAAAAGATGTAATTGCATGTTGAACTGTCTTATAGGGCTTAGAAAATAGGTCTGCTGCAGGTGGCTCTAAAAAAGAAATGAATAAGGGCAATAATAATGGGGCCTTGGCTTGCAAGGAAGCATCCTTATTGGCTGTGTTGATGACTTTGCCTGGTATAGTGGCAGAGGTATGAGTTTAACAACTCTCACATGCATTTATTTATTTATTAAAACTTGCTTCCTCTTAATTTTATTTTCCTATATTGAGGGCTTAATCTAATGACAATCATCTCGCCTTGGTGGTGGTGCTAATTCACAGATTATAGAAACCTACTGCTAGTGGCTAGTACTGCCATAATACTCGAGATTGTGAAGCTCAGATTTGATGGTGATCTATTAATATAAGGAGTCACTGTTTCTTGCTAATCAGTGGGAAACCATGATAACAGGCAGGCTGCAAAAGCTTCTTTCTTGTCACCCTAACCAGCAGAGGTTCCTGAATGGCACTTGCAAGGCTATTAGTACTGCAGAGAAGTTACTAGATGAAATAACAATTCCTGGTCCTGACTGAGGAAAGGAAAAGGAACATGCAAGATCACAAGGTTAAATTAGGAATGACAATTTAAATAAATTAAAAGTGAATCATGTGATCAATTGAATTGTGTATTAGTTTGCAGGAAAAGGGAGAGGTTAACTATATGGTTAAGGCTCTTCTGTTGCTAGAAAATCTCTATGTTACTATTAATGGTGTGCTAGAGACTTCTATGCAATTACTTATATGAGTGTTGTCAGTCATTCTAGAAATAAGCTTAGCTATTATTTGCCTTTCATGTGGCCACTATCACTGAAGAAGTAGATTAAATTCAGTAGAAATGCATATTCTGTTCCTGCAAATTTTATTGCCTTAAGAGATTTACAAAGCATCTTTCATTAATACATTTCTTTTAAAATCTCTACCTTATTATATGAATTGCAAATGTAAAGATAAACCTATACAAATGTACTTTAAATGTAAAGCTTCTAGAATGTGAGGTTTAGTTTGACTGCATACCTCAGTACATCCCTTCCCTCCTCCCCTGACTCCCAGGAAGTTTAAAGGGTAAATAAAACCTGCACATGATTATAAAAGAAAGTAGAATGTGCTAAGAACCAAAAGGAGCAAACAGATTGGGTGGTATATACTGAGTAAAAATGTTAGAGTAAACATCCTGTATTTAAAAAGCAAAGGAACAATGGAATGACATAATCCTGGAGCATTTCCTAGTAGTAAATTTCCAGCCAGGTTTGTATCCTAGGTCTGGGGATGGAGGCAAAGTCTTTGCATGTACAGTGTTTGTTTACATGGCTCTCGCTACCTCTCCCCTCCCTGTCGTGTGCGCATGCTCCATGCCCACTTAGACACACAGACACACTCTCTCTCTGTCTCTCTCTCTCTCTCTCACACACACACACATACACACACACTCAAGGGCCCACCCAAGTGTGTGGGCAGGGACTTTGTCTTCATCTTTCCATTTCTAGTGCCTGGTTTAGAGCCAGGCGCAGGTGAGGTTTTTAAATAATGAAAGAGGGAGCAAGTGTGGGATTTGATTAATCTCTCCATCTATTCATTAGGGAAATTTTTCTTGGTCTCTTTTTGGGCCAAGCCCTGTCCCTCATCCCTGAAGACATCTTGGTGAACTCAACAGTCTTTTCCTTCATGAAGCTTCCAGTCCTGTGGGGAAGACAGACAATAAACAAATCATTATAAATATAAGCTTACAAACTGTGGCAGATGCTAGTGCAGGGTACTCTCTGGAGAGGAGTAGGGAATTCGAAACAAGGAGTTGAAGGGATCAGAGAGCTCTGCAGTATCTTCAGTGGCATCTTGATGGAGGGGACTATATGATGAAAAAAGTGATTTGCTGGGCAGCAAGGAGAAGGGTGGGAAAAATCCAATTTTTTTGTTTTTGTTTTTTTGCTGGTGGTTTTCTACCTCACTATGATTGATTATGAAATCTTTTCCCTTTTTTTTTTTTTTTAAGTTTACAGATCTCAATTGGCTTTCTTTGATTCTAAATTCGGGCAATAATTTATTCCATAGAGTAAGTTTTCTAATGAGTTGAGCAGAGAAATTCGGCTTTATGGACAGAAAAGGACCAAAGAAAGCAGGAAAAAAAAAAATCTTATCCTTTTCGCAGTGGGATCCCAGCTGCAAATATGTAAAGTGGGGGTTGATGCTAAATGCCATCTTCTGAATTCCCCTGGGAATGCTCTCACCCTGTGAGTCTCACAGCCAGTATGCAGATACACCCCCCTGCATGTGTGTGGGAAGACAGAAGGTGTCAGGCTGGGGAAGCTAAGGAGAAGGAATGAGCTTGCCCTTGAATGAGTAGCAAATTTAAGCAATAAAATGTATATTTCTTATTTTTTTGTTGTTATAAAAAGAACAACAGACAGTACCCAAACCCTCAGACTGATTTTGCAAATGAAAACCTTAGTGAAGAGGAACATGTTATGTAACTATTTCTTCAGTTGAATGTAGAAAGCTTAAGAAATAACCATTTTTGTGAGGACACTAGTATTTTTCTTGCAAAAAAAAGGTCTGATAAATTTTCTTTTGGATTGATCTTAGTTAATAGATACACTTTACTAGTACCTCCTTAGAAGTAGAACTCCACCAAAAACTGGATTAGGATGATCGTTCTAGGGATAAAGTCATTTATTAAAAGAAAAAAAGCCTTTATGTGTTTATCAGTTAACAGTTTTATAAAAAAGTGATACTTACTAGATTACCTCGTTCACAGAGGGCTGCAGAAGATTCGGGTTCACATGTATTAAATCTTAGCTGCAATAGGGAGCTAAGAG